AAGCAGCTTCGTACATGTATTTCTGTGCACTCTCGGACACTGCTAGCGCGAACACGGCGTCGCCACTTTTCAGCATGCGAGATATACGTGCCGAACGAACGAAGGACATCTGGAAAACCAAGAGAGACGGCAAAAACCACGCAGTAACAATGGATCAGTAACTCCCTGTGCATGCTGATCAAAATAAATTGAAGGCCGCATAATATAGTCCGATTTTCAGTAAGTGGGGGCTGCTTTATTCTCTCTGCTCTGTGCGGAGATGCTTTTTCTACGTTCAAAACATCACCCGCACGCTCGAAACTTCTGAGAACAAGTGGCTGTTGAAAGCTGTCTGGAAAAAAAGAGATATCTTTCATAGCCCACGTACTTCCTTCTTTTCATTTTCAATGTTTTTAACGGCTCGTAAAGATGCACGAGGGGATAATTTTTATATAGTGACAGGACTGGCAGCACATTAACAATATATAAGCGTCACCGAAATGCTGACGAACGTTGAACACACTCTACATTCCTTTCGAATGCTATTTTGCTTAGAATTGTCACTCGTTTTTACACGCCTGCTGTGGAACACATGCTAATAAAGCAATTACATTTTTACAATGTTAATAAAGGTACATACTATTCGGTACGACCCAAATAACAAAGGTGTTCCATGTTATTGTCCGGCGAAAAGACAAAATGCACGCGTGTTTTCCCATAGGAGTGCACAGGAGCACCGCAAGAGTAGACCGGTTGCTGTCTGCTTCAATTTGCCTCCCGAAAATCGCATAGACACTCACTAGCGCCGGTTGAACTTCGAGCGTTGATTACAACTCATACATCATCATACGAAAAACTGTCTGCAGACATGTTGGAACATGCATAAGGCAAACAAGATTTGAATGTGCTCGTTGCGCGCCCGCGGTATAACCAGAGTAACCGCGACTTTAAAGCACGGCCGAAAGCAGAATGAACGTCAACTACGTTCTCGGCCGGCGCAGTGCTTCGGCGACTGCCGCGAAAGACGCCGAGGACGAGATCAACGTTTGGCTCTCCTCCGCGCTGCCACCACCATCGCCAAGAAGACAAGGCCTGTGCGTGACGTCATCGTTAGCAGATCCCCCGACCCTCCCCAAAGCGGCAAACGCGCCGAAGCTAGGCGGGAGGCGCTGCAAAGCGGTCGACGCGTTCGTCTTGGCGTCGCCGCGTGTTAGCGTCGCACTCGTTGTGAGACGCTGCAAGAGGCACTGTCGCCGATGCCAGGGCTCCTCAATCCCCGGACCCCGCCGAGCGGCCGTGGCGATGCTCGGACGGGAGCTGGGCCACTAGTGATGACGTTTTGGGGGAGAGGGAGGCGATGAACGGGCCTTGTCTTCTAGGTGGTTCTGGCGCGGGGCGCGGTTCGTAACGGAAGCTCGGCACAGATGTTCCTCGGCCGCCCTTCTCCGGAGAGCTCCGATGATCACGAAAGCCCGAGAAGAGGGGCACTTTCTTCCGAACTACGGGAGGCATCCGTGGGAGCCGGGCTCGGCTGCGATGCTTCTTCTCTTGTTTCCTACGACGTCTTCTGGCGTGTCCCTCCCTTTCCCCCTCTGGGGAGTGGGCCCCCGTGGGCTGAGGCGCGCTCGACAAAGCGGGACCCCCGGCTTCTTCACAATGGCAGGGACCCCTCTGGCGTTCTGTGTGTGACCCCCTCCTCAACCCTATACGCATGAGTTCATGTTTTCACGTTTTGTTTGTTTCGGTAGGTTCGCTCCCCTACCTCTTTGTTGCTTATTCCGATCACACTTCCATCGGCATACCGTGCACTATGCCCTGCGCCGAAGGCCTATCGTTGATCGGGATTCTGCTGGCCACTTCGCCATTCCGGCTGGGGAAGCTGCAGGCTCTCTCGCGTTGGTTCTTTTATCTGGCGCGCTTTTATTTCTATTTATTTTGGCTCGATATGAATTCGGGTTCGGGTTGCCCTCATCTCTTATCTCTCCGAGTCGTTTCGTTATATTTTGTTTTTCGTTCGTACTGCTCGTTCGCCCTCAACGTAGCGTCTTTATACAATCCAACACTTGCGGTACGCTTTTGTTTTCGACGGCTCGTATGCTTTGTTGCAGCTCATCGCTGTGCATAAAAGGGTTTCGGTAGGTGAACGTACTCTTGCCGAGGCAGTAACCAGTAGGGTAGTCGTGGTGGTTGGTGGTAATAACATCCGCGTAAACAGTTGGCCATGCCGAATATAAAGCACATTATGGTAATATGAGGGACTTTCGTCACACGGAAGTATGTTTCGTTTAACGGCACGCCAACTGCAGCTTTTCTCGGTTGACTGCCCTCTGTTTCGCCTCAAAGTAGTAGCGGAACCAAGGCCACACACAGACGGGCGCTCACATGGCGCTGCTGACAGCGTTTCCACTTGTGCATTCTAGGTATCTATTTTTAAGCAACAAACTCCAGCTGCAACAGCCCTCGCTCGTTGTAATTTCGCCCGTACTCGTGCTGATTGGTCCGGAAAACGCGTAGCTCCCACCGCACTATCAGCTTAGGAGTGAACGGGGTGTGTAGTAACATATAGGTGAAGCAGTGCTTGTGTCTAATGCGTGAGCTAAGGCCAGCTGACGTCAACCATTTCGTCGTTTACCCTGAGACTGGTTTTTTCATTGAAGAACAGAAGTAACAGAAAAAACAGACAGGTCTCAACAGATCTGTTACTTCTGCTCTTCAAAAAAAAAAAACCCCAGTCTCAGGGTAAACGACGAAATGGTTGACTTCCACCAGCTAGCCTGTACTTTGACTCTTTTCTCAGCTGACGTGCTTTGGGTACCGCGGATGTAGAGCAGTGAAGGAAAGGAGGTACGAAATAGTCCGCTATGTTTTCAAATTTTCGGACCGAAAATTTGAAAACTTAACTTTTAACTTCCTACCCTCTTCCTTTTGGTCCACTAAACGTTATGCGTTTAGTGAATTCCCAATATAAATTCATTTATCCCAGCCCAAAATTCATTTCCTGTCCCCTTTAACTCGCCGATGGCTGTCAATATTGATCGCCCCAGCGTAACGGTCGCCACCAAACGGCCAAGGCGCAAAGCTGTGACATTATAGGTACGTCCATATATTTCTTGCGGCTGTTTCAGACTCGGCAAATATCAACAGAACCTGGTGACGAAAACGGTGAAGCCTCCAAAACAATGTTAAAAAAATCGTCAACAACTAATTTTTTTTTTTGTTTTTTTTCGAGAAGAGTTCTGCGTCCGCGTGCGCAGCGGTTAAAGCTCCAGCTACTGTTGGAGTCCGGAAAGGGAGCTGCGATGCCTTCTCCTGCGACTCATCCGAGTCGGGGAGGATGCAGGAGAGGTAGAGCAACACGACTTTTGATTTGGCTAGTTGGTTCCTACTGGATTTTAATAAGATAACGTTTACTGAACAAGGACGACGAGGCACACATACGACAAGACTGGCGCTCTCTTGTTGTAAATGTGCCTCTTCGTCCTTTTTCAGTTTGCGTTATTTTATTAATGTATGAGCAACACCCTATCCAGACGCCAATAGCATTTCGAGCTTTCTCCGCTTGGTGGCGCCTTTATGTGAAAAAGGTCCAAACCGCGAACTACGATGTTCTTGTAATTGAAAAAAAAAGAATCAATTAATCTGTTGTTGTTTTTAATTAGAGTCAATGCATAAAATTGGTTACTGACAGACCATCTGAGCACATACCGAATTTGCTAAGTTTGGGCCCATTTTAATAAAAAGGTACGATGACGGGAACTGATATTGAAAACACTGAAAATAGATAAAAGCTAACAGAATGTCAGATTAGGTAAATCGATGGTATAAGCACAGACACACAAACACACACAGGCACGCACGCACACACACTCACACACGCTCACACACACACACACACACAGACAGACACACACACACACACACACACACACACACACACACACACACACACACACACACACACACACACACACACACACACACACACACACACACACACAATAGGGGCGTTACGTATTTATTTTTACTGTCTGGCAAATTCCCTCGATGAATCGCCGGATGAGGATCCGCATGGGTTTGAAACAATGTTTCGCTCGAAACAGGTTGCATATAAATGAAGTCTTCAAGGTGCCGGTCAGCGACATCCCGGGTAAAAAAAAGAAACAAAGAACAACAACAAATTCTGCACGTGACCGAACGTAGTAATTAGGAAGCGCACCCATCGTGAAATGAATTCCGTCGCGCTCGTGACTCTCCCAGCTCTGGCGCATTAACGAGCGTACACGTCTTACAACAGGCAAACAATTAGGACCCGAGACTGCCTCCGTCGTTGTACGGTGACCTCAACAAATCGGAGTCTACGCTTCCGCGAGACGGTGACGTGCCGACTTCGTATATGCTCTCGGCGGCGATTACCGTCCTCCTGTATAATAGCTCGATTTTAAGGCTTCTCACACATTTGCGCTTGTATGCGACCGACTGCGTTGGAGCCGCTTGTGACCGCTTACGACGGATGGATGGATGGATGGATACGGCTGGACCCTTTTAATCGGGCGCGGCTTGCGCCATCTGTCGGGTAACCCTGGAACACATCCGTCTATTTCCTGCCGCAGTGCAACTGCCCTCCATAATCTCGTGGCCAGATAAACGTTGCCTCACACACTCACTGCTCACATTTCATGACCTATACCGAAAGTTTCGCGGTAATTATGAGATCAAATCCACGCACCACTTACGAGAAGCTGTCGCCAATAACGTTTTCAGAATTAGCTCAAGTTCACGGTGGAAGAATGATGCGTGGCAAAAACTAAGGAGATTGGATGTGTTTCATGGTTGCCCGATAGATGGCGCTAGTGTGTTCCCCGGTCTAAAGCAGTCACAACCGGTTGAAACGCACCCGGTCGCATTGAAACCCAAATGTGGGAACCAGCACTTATCTTGCGTTGTTCTTTTGTTTTTCTATGGACGTTTCTTTATTGTCGAGGTTCGCTGGTTTATTTATTTATTCATTTTCTCGCCCGCAGGGATGCCGTCGGGAGTGGTGTATCGGACAGGACCTTGTCGGATTACAGGTAAGCGAACATTGTTTCATCTCGTTCGAGTTATGTATGACGGCAGTAGAAAGCACGTGAAAGAGACCCGCACCATCTTCTAAGGCAGCGGTCACGCTCGTCGTACATCATAGAAAAAGGCACGACGCAATTGTATGTAGACACACCACGAGCATTCATGTTCGGATCATGTTTGCTTCACATGCCTGCAGGCAGTTTTTGCATGACCAATGTGACACAAGGAGGAAGGCCTGAGACAGTGTCTAACTCTGCAGACTGTATGATGTATTATCAACGTGACCGTGTCTTAATGGCGCCACAGGAACGCTGGTGCGGATGGAGTTCGAGAGACTGGCGTGGGGCCAGCGGATGTCTCTTTCGTATCCTGCAAAAGGCCAATTCCACCGCTTGACTCAGATAAAACTAAATCTTAGAAGTTCCGGTATAGTTTGTTTTAGGGGTGTCGCGAACCGGCCGAGGTTCGAGTTCGACCAGGTTCGACTTTTTCGACCTTTTAGTGGAAAATTCGACGAACCTTGCATTGAGGTTCGACTCGTGTGCGCATGCGCGACAGGCTGGTCAGTTGGCTTCGGATTGGATGGTAATGGCTAAGGGATAAATTAAGGGCAGCGCCGATTGGTTATTTCACTTAATACAGTACAAAAAAAATTAAATTATTAACCTCTTCAGTGATTAGAATTAGTTTCTTTTAATTGCAACTGTTTATAAAATAAAATAATCCTTTTCTTAAAAAAAACATTCTCCAAACCTAGACATGCTTGTATCAAGGTCTGGCCACACTGTCCACAAAGTCGAACCGGTCGAATCTGGTGAAAAGTTCGAAGGTTCGTCGACCGGTTCGACCCAGTCGAACCCCGAAAGTTCGACTTAAAAATCTGGTCGACAAAAGTTCGCGACACCCCTAGTTTGTTTCAACTTTTAAATGAAAATTTCGAAGCAGCATAGGGTCCTCCTGTTGTTATGATGTAGATACCGTTGCCTAATATCCGTCGGCGGATTGCGGTGACCGCATAGACTGAGGTTTGGCGGTCAGTTTTCGCCACAGGTAAAAACAGCCCTATAAAATAGGCAACCTTCATCGTTCATGGTATACCAATTCCTTCGGAATTTTGTACGTCAGTAACCCAGGCATGAGCGCTCTAGCACAAGTTTTTTTTATGGTGATGAAAACGTAATGTGAACATACTTTTATTTACTTATCTTTTTCCTTGGTTTATGTTTGTACGAATTCGATGGTTTTATATTTCGCGGTGCCACGGTGACGAGTAATGTCGGTGGTTGCGGAAGCCGCTGCCCTCCCTCTTTAAGTTGCGTGAAAACGTCGTGATTAATTACTCGTTTACCCGGCTGATTGCGTCCTTAGCTGCCATGGACGTAACTGTCTGGTTTTGTGAATAAGTATTCATCTTATGGTACAATTGCATGCAATAAATCTTAATAAAAAATGACTTTGCATTTTTTTTTCAAGATTGACATTCATTTTTTTTATTATTATTTTACTTCTGGCTTGCGGCACTTCACCCACGTATCTTCCTGCTCCACTCCTCTCCTTCTGAAGGGATAGTGCACCGACCCTTTCGTCCAATCGCCGTGCATCATAGCGTTGGTGTGACGCCTGTCAAAGCGTGCTGACGTTATTTAGAGGGTCAGGAGGAATACTTTCTCTCGTGTAGTCCGTTTTTTTTTGTTTTTCTGTTGCCCTCGCTACCGTTCCGGTTGAGAGAGGAGGAGGGGGTGGTAGAAATACAGTAGGGTTGTTTGCCTTACAAAAAAATTGTGGGTGTACGTTTTGTAAGTCGTCTTGAATGGTTTAAAGAGAAGAAAATTAACGTTTGAAATCAAATGGCGTGGGAAGGACGTTCAAATAATAAATTATCTTGGTCTTGAGTGTTAGATATCAACCATTTCTTTCCGTATTTTTTTTTTCTTTTTAATTCCGAAGATTTTTTTTTTTTTGCAATATTGATGGATGCATTGACAGCAACTAAGACAAAACAATTAGGATTGTCAATTTTATTTCTCGAAGCTATTCCACACATGACAAGAAACATCTAGAGTGTATCTCGAGCTAGGAGCGAATTCGGGGTTTGTCGGATCAGTCTTTTGCCACAAGTTCCGAAAATCGAGCAAGAACAATTGACCATATGTTGCTAAAAAACGAACCCGGCAAAACAAAAAAAGAAAAAAAAAAAGAAATGAAAAAGGGAAGAATAGGGTAGTTTTGATTGGCGTCGACTTCGTGACGTGACGTTCACGTGACTTCCCCCTGCGGCCATCAAGGCCAACCAGTGCCGGCGTGCCGTGACCGCACGCCATTATTTCTGCGTGATTGTCACAGAAAACTCGCCGTGCGTGAAATCTCTTCCGCGGCACGCGGGATGCGACCGCCGCCGTTGTCGTCGTGCCTTGGGGAGCCATCCACCGCGCGCTGCCTCGGATGTTTCGAGAGACCGCCGACAGACGCCGACTGGGGCGTCGAAAGTATCGCGGGGTTACTTTTACTCGCTACCTTCTGTTTTAACCATACACTGCATACTCAGTAAATTGCGTGGACGTTTTAAGGGGTGAGTGCCGTGTAACGGTACATAATATTTACCACGTAAACAAACGAAATAATGCTACAAATAACGGAAAACATACAGACGACCTTGGGAACTTTCAAGGCCTTCAATACCAAGCTCAATGCTGCACTTTAAATTTAAATTCTTTATTTCTCTCCACTTTGAGAGAAAAGGGAAAGGGAAGGGAAGGGGAAGGGGGTTAACGCGCACTCTAGTGATAAACGCTTGACGAAACGTCCCTACAGCGTGCAATTCGCGTAACGAGCGTCGATGAAACGATCGTGTTGACGAAAACATAATTCCACGAAACGAGTTTCGACTAAATGATAGGTACCCCCCCACAAGTATGCACGTTCTATTTTCTTCTTTACCTCGTGCATTTGGCCTAGACATACCTGCAGGCTTGACAGGGCCGCGACTGTCCTTCCTCACCCAAATCGCTGTTCGGTGGGATAGGGACGACTCAGCCAATCGGCGTACTTGTCAAAACATACGACCCTCTGTCAAAACTACAGACGTCGCGAACTTCTGTCGATGCTAAGGTTCGACATGGTTCGGCGGACCTTCGAACTTTTAGCAAAGTCCCACAACGAATGGATGGATGGATGGTGTGCACCTAAAAAACTGAGGCAGAGGGGGAGACGAGAGGGTACGTCAGAACACCGGGCTCTGATTGAACTCATTAGTGGGTAGATGCCTAAAGCTATAGCTGCCTTTGTCTCCGCTGCACTCGTCAAACGCGTTGTTGGAATGTAACGGGTTACTTTACTCGTTACGTTACAACTTACTTTCACGTTACTTTTCCCGTACTTATCGAGAAAACAGTAGAAACAATTTTGATGCTTTCAAAAATGTTCTGCAGCCTTAATTTTCATTTGTAATACTTTCAGTTTGTACACAGCACTACTTTCCATCTGTACTTAATTCCACTATTGTACTTAAGAGAAGGAATGTCGGTGCACTACGTTCACCTCTAAGCTGACGTGGCAACGAAAGCTGCAACCACAACCGCCATCCTGCCAGCTTACGGCTACCAGACATGATTCCTGGAATTCTGCTGACAAAGCTAGTGGTGCGCATGCTCAGTAGCAGCGCCTACCTTCGCTAAGAGATCGAGAGGACAATGTCTACACGGCGTTGTCCTCTTGATTTTTCTTCTTTGCATATCTGTGTATGCCTCGCACGTTTCTCTAGTCTTTGTATTGAGCGGTAACACACACACAAAAAAATTGTTTTATTTTGAATTATTCTTTCGTTAAACTTGTTGAACGTTGTTATAATTATAATTACCTTCCACTTTGGGACAACTACTTTCGACAAAAAAAAATTCAAATTTCGGGCAACAAATAATTTATAAAATAATTCTTTATATTTCAAAAGAGGATTGGCAATGTTCGCCCATTATAAAGCCAAGGATATGTACTCTTAATGCCTCGGTGCGTTAATGTAAAACAATGAAACCAAACACCCATCGATCGTTGCGCTTTTCCTCGGCTTGCTGGCGTCAGCTCGTCTCCAAATTTTCGCGAAGGCTCACAGTAGTCGAACCCCAGTCGAACTTTCGTCGACCTCCGCGCTGAAAGTTCGAAAAAGTCGAACCTGGTCGAATCCGAATCTCGGCTGGTTCGCTACATATCCCTCCTTATCGAAACCGACTACCGGCAATAGAAGGCAAGGCCTGCTCCTTTTCTCCCATACGTCATCACTGCTTGATGCCGACGGCGCGTCTTGCAGCGTCTCAACGGGGATCCACAAAGGATGACGTCACGCGCGGGCCTTATCTTTTAGGTGGTGTTGCTACCGGGCACAGTGCATGCTGCTGCTTGCTGTCTCAGCTGTTATTCGCGCTTGGATCCTCGGGGGACACTGCGCTGCCTTTAAAACAGTTCGGAGTGTCGATTAGTCGCCGAGGAGGGGTCGATAAACTGTGCACGGCTCGTGTTCTCGGGCGTTTTCCGTGCGTCTTGCTGCCTGGTTATCGCTCCGTCCTTCTCCGCCGCTTCGAAAGAGCGTCGAAGCGGCGAGTGTCTCGATAAACTGCGCGATGGCATCGGAGTTGTCCGTCTCGCAATCTGCCTGTGGATCGGAGTCTCGCTGTCGCTCAGGCCGTTCTGCGGCGCGCCCGGGAGCTAAAATTAAGAAGCCGTACTTTGATTGGGATCCGCAACGGGAAAGGCGTCGTCGACGGATGAAAACGCGGGGAGGGATTAGGAAGCAGGGCGTCGTCGTTACATTAAGGCGAGAGATGGCGTTGCCATGTCGTCTTGAAACTTTGCTGCGTCAACACGAAAGGGACTTTTTGCTGAAACTTAATTGGTACTTTTATTTTTATTTTTTTGAAGGATTGGGTTGGTGAAATTGGGATGACCATTAAAATTGCTCGCAAATTTGACATTTTGCTTCTTTGTTTTCTCAGTGATATATATATATATATATATA